AGTGAACAAAGCCTCCAAGAAACATGGGACTATGTGAAAAGACCTAATCTATGCTTGATCGGTGTACCTGAATATGATGGGGAGAAAGAATCCAAGCTGGAAAACACACTCCAGGATATTATCCAGGAGAACTTCCCAAGCCTAGCTAGGCAGGCCAACATTCAAATTCAAGAAATACAGAGAACTCCACAAAGATATTCCTCAAGAAGAGCAACCCCAAAGCACATAATTGTCAGATTCACCAGGGTTAAAATGAAGGAAAAAATGCTAAGGGCAGCCAGAGAAGGTCAGGTTACCCACAGAGGGAAGCCAGACTCACAGTGGATCTCTTGGCAGAAACCCTACAAGCCAGAAGAGAGTGGGGGCCAATATTCAACATCCTTAAAAAAAGAACTTTCAACCTAGAATTTCATCTCCAGCCAAACTAAGCTTCATAAGTGAAGGCGAAATAAAATCCTTTATGGTCAAGCAATTACTGAGATTTCATCACCACCAGACCTGCCCTAAAAGAAACACTAAGCACAGAAAGAAACAAGTAGCAGACACTGCAAAAGCAAACCAGTTGGCAAAGACCAAAAATGCAATGAAGAAAATGAGTCAACTAATGGGAAAGAAAACCAGCCAGTAACAAAATGGCAGATCAAATTCACACATAACAATATTAACATTGAATGTAAATGGCTTAAATGCCCCAGTCAAAAGACACAGACTGGCAAACTGGATAAAAAGTCAGAACCCATCGGTGTGCTGTATTCAGGAAACCCATATCACATACAAAGACACACATAGACTCAAAGGGATCGAAGAAGATTTACCAAGCAAATGGAGAACAAAAAAAAAGCAGGCATTGCGATCCTAATCTCTGACAAAATGGACTTCAAGCCAACAAAGATGAAAAGAGACAAAGAAAGAAACAACATAATGGTAAAAGGATCAATCCAACAAGAAAAGCTAACTATCCAAAATATATGTGCACCCACCACAGGGGCACCCAGATATAAAAAGCAAGTTCTTAATGACCTAAAATGAGATTTAGACTCCCACACAATAATAGTGGGAGACTTCAACACTCCACTGTCAATATTAGACAGATCAATGAGACAGAAAATTAACAAGGACATCCAGGACTTGAATGTAGAGCTGGACCAAGCAGACCTAATAGACATGTATAGAACACTCCACCCCAAATCCATAGAATATACATTTTTCTGAGCACCACATTGCACTTACTCTAAAATTGACCACATCATTGGAAGCAAATCACTCCTCAGCAAATGCAAAAGAATGGAAATCATAGCACTCTATCAGACCACAGCACAATCACACTAGAACTCAGGATTAACAAACACTCAAATCTACACAAACACTTGGAAACTGGACAACTTGCTGAGTGTTGGCTGGATAAACAATGCAATGAAGGCAGAAATAAAGATACTCTTCAAAACCAAGCAGAATGAAGACACAACTTGCCAGAATCTCTGGGACACCGTTAAAGAAGTGTTGAGAAGGAAATTTATAGCAATAAATGCCCACATGAGACACAAGGAAAGATCTAAAATTGACACCTGGCATCAAAATTGAAAGAGCTAGAGGAGGAAGATCAAAATAACTCAAAAGCTAGCAGAAGACAAAAAAGTAAGATCAGAGCAGAACTGAAGGAGACAGAGACACAAGAAAACCTTCAAAAAATCAATAAATCCAGGAGCTGGTATTTTGAAAACATCAACAAAATAGACTCCTAGCTAGACTAATAAAAAAGAAAAGAGAGAAAAATCAAATAGATGCAATAAAAAAGATAAAGAGGACATCACCACTGATCCCACAGAAATACAATCTACCATCAGAGATTACTACAAACAGCTCTATGCACATAAATTAGTAAACCTGGAAGAAATGGATAAATTCCTGGACACTTGTACTCTACCAAGACTAAAACATGAGGAAGTTGAAACCCTGAATAGACCAATAAGAAGAGCTGAAGTAGAGGAAGCAATCAATAGCCTGCCAACCAAAAAAAGTCCAGGTCCAGACAGTTTCACAGCCGAATTCAACCAGACATAAAAAGAGGAGCTGGTTCCATTCCTTCTAAAACAGTACCAAACAATACAAAAGGAGTGAATCCTCCCTAACTCATTTTATGAGACCAACATCATCCTGATACCAAAACCCGGCAGAGACTAAACTAAAAAAACTTCAGGCCAATATCCATGATTAACATCAATGCAAAAATCTCCAATAAAATTCTGGCAAGCTGATT